TCTGAGCCTCTTCACCTGCTGGCGCACAACTCTACACAGAGGCCTGCGTGTCTTAGAATATTCCTACCACCATGTTATAAGACTTGGGAGCAACAACCACCTAACAAGAGACATTGCCTATGAGAAAGTGATTATTTTCTATAGGTGCCACAGGGTCCTTCCTGCTTACACATTGCACCAGGGAAATGCCTAAGATCATTTTCAAAACAGAGGTCCCAGATACTGCTAAATGTCATCTTGTCAAGGAATCTGATTTGTACCCAGTGAGGAGAGACATGTTTATTTCAGCAGGAGGCTAGCCATGGGGTTGAGGACCAAGACAGAAACTCAATCTAGTTCCTTGAGTTCTCCTTGGAAGAGAGGCATGTTCTGGTGAGGAAGGAATGGACCCATTAATGGAATAGGACAAGATAAACTCAGGAATATATCTCTGCTAATTCTCTCCTCCAGACTTGAGCTAACTCCCTCCATTTCAGCTCCTGAGAAGAGACTTCAGACATGGCCAAATCTCCAGTTCCTTTCCTTCAGATTTCCCAAAGGAGGTTCTGCCCTCTCCGTCCTGTCCACTCTGTACCTACTGGGCCCTCCATACTACCAACCTCACTTCTTGTTACTTATTTAAGCCGATGCTCTCTAGGTGTTTTTATCTCTCTGACCCCTCTTATTCACTGGATATTACTGTCTCATCATCCTCCCTAGATGTAAGGGAGTTACCTTTTATTCTGCTGTCCACAAAATTTCAAAAATCTGGGGTTCTGTTCCTATGGAAGATAAATAGGTGTATTACATAGGGGGAGAGGGTAATAGCTCCAAGAATCCTGCAAAAAATAAAAACAGACCACTGAACTTGATTTAATTCAGTATTTCCTATACTTAACTTGACAAAACAATCATTTTGTGTCCCCTGCCTATTCTCCCTCCCCCATCCCAGAACCCCATGAAATTCCATATTCATCTTTTTCCAAGGAAACAGAACTTACATCTAGGTATGGCCAGTGTCTAAGGTCTGGCCAATGAGATGCAGGTGAAATGATTGTGGGGCAGCTTATGGGAAATTTCCTTTAATAAGAGCTGGCACATGCCCTTTGCATTGTCTTCTTTGTTTCTTCCTTCATCTTTCTGTCTGAAATCTGACTGTGATGGTTAGCACTCTACCTCACAGATAAGGGCCAGACCCAAGGGATGGGAGAGGATGAACTGTAAAGAAACCGGTTCCCTGAAGACTTTGTGGAATAAAGTCATCATAATAGCCATGGACTACTTACCTCTTTTTATAAAGTCTCCTCTGATCTCCACAGACAGAATAACCCAATTCCTCCAAAGTGCTTACTGTACTTTGCGCAGATCTCTCCTCTAGCACATATCCTATTAAATTAAACTTGTCTCTTACGCACAGAGATAGCAAGTCAGAGCCCATTGTGATTGACTGACAGTGGATATTGCATTGAACAGGAATGTGAGCTTAAGTTTTTGTTGAGTGAAAAAGAAAGTTACCACTGATGGATACAGGGAGAAGACTTGTAATTTCACCCATAAATTTGCCACCTCTGAACTAGGCATATATCTATTTTATTTCCAACTGTGATTTCTAAAGGGTAGGAACCAAATTTTTAAATTTTTAATTTTCTATTTCCAGTGCCCAAATAGATTACAAGGTAGAATGCAAATTCCTTGAATTTTAAATAAAAAATGAGATCCCAAAATTAATTTTTTAACAAATTAATTTTACATTTGTTCATTCTCCTCTTCCTTCAGTATACTTTAGAGGAAAAATCTGACATGCTCTGGGAAATCAGGAGGTGAAGAACACGGTGTTTTCTTATAGGAATTGTTAAACCATTAAAACAGTGATTTTTTTTTTTTTAATATGCTATTGGTTATCTTTGGATCAAATCAGACAGAGGATGTTTTTGTGAGAATGTAATTCCTCTGAATCAAGTTCTGGTGAATTACTAATTTGGGAGCCTGATGAATACAATACCTGTGGCTAGTTGGGGTTTCTCCCTCCAGATCCTACAAGTAAGAGTTGCTGAACAAGACCAAAGCAATGCTGAACCATTTCCTTTCCTCTGATTTCAGATTCTTTCTCCTGTTCAAAGCTAATTCCTCTCCAGTATTGCAGATCCCTGCCTCTCCTAACTCCTGAGGGGTTTCTATATATCAAATGCCCCTCTCCTGAATCCTCATTCCCTTTCTGTATTGACATTTTCCCTTTAGCAACACACCCATATTTTCTCTATACTGAAGACCTAAGCCCTGCTCCCTGTGAGTCCTGTGCTCTACAGTAGAGATAACCTTTCTTTGTTCATCTTCATAGCCAAGTGTCTGTAAAGAACAGAAGATACTGCTTGCATCCCCTTTTACCCTTTCTACCACACTCCACAGAAGCTGCCCCTATTAAAGATGAAACAAACCACTTGATTCCTAAACTTCACAGATCCTCTTCAGAGAGGCAGTATGCATAGTGGTAATGAGCAGACTCAGAAGGCAGACTGCCTGGGGTTAAATCCCCACTCTGCCTCTTACCAGCTGCATGATCTAGTTCAAATTACTTAACCTCTCTGTACGTTATTTTCCTCTTCTGTGAAATGAAGTTATTGCGAGGATTAACCCTTATAGGGTTGTTGGATGATTAAATGAGCTAGTAGATATAAAGTGCTTATAACAGGGCCCAAAACATAGTAAATACCAGGTAAGTATTATCCAATATCCTTTGGTGTTTATCTCATCTGATCTCTCTCGAGAGGCTGTTGTCAGCAGTGTCAAGTATTACAAAGAGATCAGATGAGGCAAAATTCCAGGAATGGCTTCCCATTTCCTACAAGGCAAAGTCCACTAAATGAAATCACATTCAAATATCTCTGTCACTTATTTCCTGCATTCATCCTGGTCTTGTCTTCAGACAACTCCTTGCTTCTATTCCTTCAAACCTCACCTCATGCCTCATCTACAGTCTTTTCTGACCCTTTCTCAAACAAAGTCTTAACTAAGTGCTCTATCTCTATGCTCCCAGACTACCTTGTGCAACTTCTGCCTCTATCATACTACTTATGACACCTGCAGTCACCATAATGGACTGTAAGCCATTAAAGAAATGGGACTATGTCTTACTTGCATTTAAATTCCTAATACTGAGCACAGTGTCTGGTGAATTGGAAGTGCTCGATAAATGTTTAAGTGAATAAAACAATAAATAAAATGAGTACTTTGCTTGGGCCAATGTCTCTTGAAAGAAAAGGTTGAAGAGTTCAATTCAACACTTATTCAGACCTCCTTATATGCAGTGTAGGAATGAGAATCCAGTTTGTTTAATTTTTATTCCAGTACACTCACCACTGTTGAGGTAGACATAAGCACAGCAGTTGTAAGCACAGTACCTGATATCAGACTGTACATATTTCAGCTTCATTCAGCTAAATGTGTGATCTTAAGCAAGTTACTTAATCTCTCTGTGCACCAGTTTCCTTCTAAAATAATACAGTCCTGAGTCACTTAACCAGGATACATTCTGAGCAATGCCTTAGGTGATTTCATCATTTTATGAATATCATAGAGTGTGCTTACACAAACCTACATGGTATAGCCCACCACACTGGTAGGTTATATTGGATAGCCTACGGCTCTTAGGCTACACATCTGTACAGCACGTTACTCTACTGAATACCGTAGGCAATTATAACACAATGGTATTTGTGCATCTAAACATAGAAAATGAACAGTAAAAATAGGGTATTATAATCTTATGTAAATGTCTTATATGCAGTCCATTATTGACGCAAACGGTGTTAAGCAGCGTGTGACTATAATATACATCTCATACAATTTTTGTTACTACTGAATGAGATAATACATGTAAAGTGATTAGAACAGTGTTTAGTACACACCATACACTCAAAAGTTATTAAAAGATATTATTTTAAATATTAAGATGACCCTGGAGGTAATATTTTGGCCTTACTCAGAAGTTTTCATTAAAAATAAACATGAAACTAAAATAAGTTGCAGCTCCTAGGAGAAAGAATTCCAGAAGCAGGAACATGGTTAACCTTCAACACGTGACCCTGACGATGATCTCACCACCTCCCAACTCACTAACCCCAGCACTTCACTCACAATTCAAGCCCTTGGCCCCACTGCCCAGGCTTTATTCTATATACCTAATAGTCATTCTTCCCTCTGGATGTCTGAGGGCTTTTTTTTTTTTTAAAGATGGCCAGTAAGGGAATCTTAAGCTTTGACTTGGTGTTGTCAGGGAGCACCACACTCTCCCAAGTGAGCCACGGGCCGGCCTGATGTCTGAGGGCTTTTAAAAACTTTTTTTCATTGAGGAACTGAGTCGAGAGAATATATACTGTTCACCCTGAAGAAAATCTCAGTTCTGCACCAGCCCACACATAGGCGATTACTCATGGACGATTCCAGCCCAGAAACATAATTAGAAAAGACTGGGATTCTCCAACATCACTTTCTCCCGCTGCTTTCTCCACCCACACAAGTCCACCACTATCCCCCTTTCAAAGCATTTCATCCACCTCGCTGGCCACATCTTCAGTGGGTGACTGAGCGCTTCTGCTGTGCTTCGGGATCCTCCATCTCTTCCACATCTTTCGGGGTGTTTCTCTCAGGGTCGGCGGCACCCATCTCTGTGACGCTACTCCTGGCTCGAGTCCTATTTAACAGCCTTGGGGAAAGAGAACAGAAGTCGGAAACTGTAATATAAACTACGAAGTCTCTGTCGTGTTTCTTCTTAGGATGCCGGCGAAGGTTCCCCCTCCATAACCCGCTTTCCACTACGTAGGTACAACCCGCTCAGCCTGGACGCGCTGAGGTCCCCTTGAGCGCAGGCGCTCCTGGGCCCCGCCCCCTTCCAGAGGCTCAGTCCCTATTGGCGCAGAAGCCGGGGGTGGAGCGCCTCAGTCGCCGGAGCCGGACGATCATGTGACTGGCGGGGGTGGGGCTGCGCCGGCGGCTTTCCAGCCCGGCTGAAAGGGCTCGCGTAGCCGGCCTCGTCGGCCCATAAAGCTCCTAGGGGGCGGCCGGGCCCAAATTCCCCTCTCCTAGCCGCTCAGGAGGATTTCCCCCTAGCTCTCGTCATTCCCCCGTGTTCGCTTTCCTTCCTTTTCCGAAGTTGGGCCCTTAAATCCAGGGCCGCGGAGTCTGCGGCCGCCGAGAAACTACTGTCCGGATTCTAGTGTCCGGGCAGTAACCGGAAGCTCTGTCCCCAGGCCGAGGGGCGGTGCCGGCGGCTGCTTGGGTAAGCGCGGCCCTCGGGGCCTGGGAGGGGCGCGGCCTTCGGGGCCCAGGGATGGAGGCGGAGCGCGGCGGGACCGGAGACCCCGGCCGGGGGGGAGCAGCCACTGTTCCTGGACGCCGCGCGTGGTCAAGGCCCCCTTGACGGCGAACGGAGATCTGAAAGAAGGTCAATGAAAAGTTGAAAGAGAAGCTTCGTAGGGTCATTTCTGGAAATGATAGTAAACTCTGCCAGGCACTTTTCTAAGCAATATATATCTTTAATATATATATGTCGGAGAAAAAAATCCAAGGACGTTGAATAGTTTTTCCCTATCTTCAATTCAGAGATTAGTTATATTGTAGTCTTCGTATATATATGCAGAAGAATCTGGTTTGTTTAATCATTCCATAACCATTTCATTTTGGAAACCTGCATTATATATAACTTTGTGTTCTATACACTTAGCACGTGCACCTTGAGGTTCGTAGTGGTAGAAGAATGCGTCCTTGACCTTAGAAGTTGAGATAATGCAAACAAAAACAATTAATAGAAGGAAAAAAAATAAAACAAACAAATAAGAAAAACAGGGCTTAGGGCTTTGTTATGAAGTTAAAGTTAGTCATTATCCAGAGGATTCTTGATATTTTGTTTAGAGTTGGTCGGGAAGAAACTGATGGCTACCAGTGGCAGGTACTTCTTGCAGGAGGAACAATGTAAGCAAAGGTTGGAAGAAGTAAGATATGGTTGAAGGTTGCTGACCAGACTGGAAAGTAAATGGGACCAATATTTAGGTGACCAGCTGTAGAAAAATTTCACAAAGTCGTCTTCAACAGTATTGATTTTTTTCCCACAGGAGAGGGAAGAATTTATTGTTGTGAATAGTTCTGGACTAGCGACCTTTTACAGCCAGCCAAAAGAAAGACAGTCTGGAACCTTTTTTGTTGTGGTGAGTAGGATAACTTGCTCTATGATTCTATATAAATGTGGACTGGGTGGGAGGGGGTAGCCTGGGAGGGGGAGGGGTGTTGGAGGACAGGAAGGGATGGGAGAAGATACATGGAAAAAGGGAATGGCCCTTTCTTAGCTCCTGAGGTAGCAGAATGATAAAACTAGGCCTGATCCTAGTTTATTTTCTATTTCTTTCGACATACATGCATATTTGCAATAGGCTTGCAGTAATTGCTTCTTGATTGACTCGCAGCACAAAGGAGCCAGTGTGCTCAATGCTTAGGCAGGCTGTGGAATCAGAAAACGGATATTTAAATCCTAGCTCTGCTACTTATTTGCTGTGAGATCTTGAGTAATTATTTAACTGTCTAAGCATCGGGTTTTCTTTTTTTTTTCGTTGAAACATAACTGATTGTATATATCTGTGGGGTACAGCATTGAGTATTAGTACCTGTGTGCAGTATGTGGTGCTGAGCATCAGGTTTTCTGTCTGTAAGGTGCAAACGTTGGTATTTGTGCCTATTTTACAGTGTTCTTGGGAGGATTAAATGAGATAATCCATGTAATGAAAAATAAATGAGGTAATCCCTAGCCTAGGGCCTATACAGTGAGCATTATCTAAGAAACAGATTTGATTTTGTCTGATTGTTCTATGCATTTTTTAACTGTAAGGGTAACTTTGAGCTCTGCAGTTCTGTGACTCAGCCTGTCTGCTTTTTCTGTGCCTTCTGACGCTAGGCATGAAAGAGTATCAATCCTAGGAGGGGGAAAGAGAAGTGTCCTAGAGGAGGGTACCATGGAGCTAAGACTTGAAGGATGCCCAACCAGGTCTATTGGCCTAGCTTGATGTATTGCTGCTGGGGCTTCAAGGATGATGATGGCCCTTATTCTTTCTTATATTTATTTGTTCATATTTTTCATTCAAAAAATGTATTCTAGATGCTAGGAATATTGCAGTAAATAAAAGACTAAGTCCTAATCCTAATAGAAGTTGCATTCTAGTGGGAGAAACAAACAAATGAACAAATATAAACTATATACCAAAAAGTTAAATGGTGAGAAGGATTATGGAGAGTGGAATAAGAGGACACAGGCTATTTTAGATAAAGTAGTCAGGGTGTGTTTTGTTTTGAGGAAGTAATTTTCAGGCAGAGACATGAGTCAAATAAAGGAGCCAGCTGCATGGGGGAAGAACATTCTAGGCAGAAGGAACAAGTACAGAACTCTGAGGTGGCCTGTGAGGGTGAAGATAGCAGAGGTGCCACATTATGTAGGGGAGTAAAAACGTTGGTTTTTATTCTGCGTGTGATAGGAGACAGAGTATTTTAAACTAGGGAAGTGTTATGGATTACTTTGAGATTTGACAACCAGACTAAATTTATTTTCTAGGCGCCAACATCTAAAAGACTTAGATATTAATAAGAAAATGATGTCCTTATTTTTCTGATTTTTTTTTTTCTTACTGCCCTGCACTTTATAGCTTGTTTAGGGCAAATATGATACCTTGGGCTTGATAACTTTAGAAAATAATCTGATTGATTTGCCTGATTTTTTTTTTTCTTACTGCCCTGCACTTTATAGCCTGTTTAGGGCAAATATGATACCTTGGGCTTGATAACTTTAGAAAATAATCTGATTGATTTGCCAGGCTGTAACCAACCTCAGAATCCTGCATTTCCGCTCTACTCTCTTTTTTTTTTTTTTTAAAGGTGATGGGTAAGGGGATCTTAACCCCTGACTTGGTGTTGTCAGCACCATGCTCTCCCAAGTGAGCTAACCAGCCATCCCGATATAGGGATCCGAACCCATGGCCTTGGTGTTATCAGCACCACACTCTCCCAAGTGAGCCACAGGCCAGCCCTCTACTCTACTTTTGAACTTAGCAATACTATACATTTTAACACACATTTTAAAAGACAAAACTCCCATAAACCCACCTTCTTATACCAGCTCTTTGTCTGTATGCCTGCATATCTTTACTTAGTTGTGATTTTGAGTTGGAATTCTTCCTTTCCTTCTAACATTTCTTCATAAATTTTTTTCTGCTGTTTGCATTATCTTTACATTAACTGTTAACTGGCTGAGTGTTTTTATGTAGTTAATTATTTTAAATGGATTTTGAACAAGGCTTTGTACAAGAATCGAGCACAGAGGATGGGCTCAATACGTGTTAGTGGTTTTGTGCATGTGAAGATGTAATTTAAGGAAATAATAGAACCTATCATTTATTGAGCATCTACCGCGACCTGGGCATTGAGCTTAGTCTATTACCAATAGTGTTTCCGCAGTCGTAGCAACTCTGTGAGGCACGTAATTATATCTTCCCTATTTTATCAAAAGGGAAATTAAAGGTGAAAGAAAGTAACTTATCCAAGTTCTCACAGCTATGAAAGAGCAGAGTGGGAATTTGAACCAAAATCTGAGTCCAGAGCTTAAACTTTCAGTTTTGACTACCATTATATACCAATCTTCAGCCACCATGTTTTTTAAAAACCAAAATAAAATACCTTAATTTTTTTCTTTATTATTATAGCAGTTTTAGTTTTATAGAGAAATTGAGCAGAAAGTAAAGATAGTTCCCATACCCTCCCCCCATCCACATTACAGTTTCTCCTATTATTGACATGTTACATTAGTGTGATACATTTGTTACAATTGTGAATCAGTATTGAAATATTATTATATTAGGGTTTCCTCTGTGTTGTACACTTCTATGGGTTTTTCCTAATGCATAATGTCATGTATTAACCATTACAATGTCATACAAACTGTCTTGCTGCCCTAAAAATTCTCTGTGTTCCACCTGTTCATCCCTCCTTTCCTCCTTCTCTCATCCCCTGAAATCCAGGCAACCACTGATTTTTTTCATTACCTTAAACATTTATCATTTCTTTGTGTTGTAAACATTCAAAATCCTCTCTTCTAGCTAATTGAAACTCTGCAGTAAATTCTTGGTAATTATAGTCACCCTACAGCGCAATAGAACACTAGAGATTATTTCTCCTGTCTTTTTGTTTACATTAACCAACCTCTCAGAATGCTCCCTCCCCTCTACCCTTTCCAGCCTCTGGTAACAACCATTCTACTCCTTGCTTTCTATGTGACCAACTTTCTTAGCTTCCACATATGAGTGAGAACATGTGATATTTCTCTCTTCCTGGCTTTCTTCACTTAACATATCCTCCAATCTCATCCATGTCACTGCAAATGACAAGATTTCATTCTTTTTTATGGCTGAATAGTATTCCATTGTGAAAATACCTTTTAATTTTGAAATCATTTAAGACATAAAAAATTGCAAAATAGTACAGAGAATGTCCATATACCCTTTACCCATATTCCCTAAATGTTAACATTTTACCCATGTTTCCTTTATGATTCTGTGCGTCTCTTTATATATTCATACACACACATGCGTATATGTACATATTTTTCTGAACCACTTGAGAGTAAGTTGTAGACATAATGCCTTTTCTGCAACTGAGAGAATTAAGCCCTAAAGTCCTAAGGTATGTGTATTAGTCCATTTTTGTTATTTATAGCAAAATACTTGGAACTGGGTAATTTATAAAGAAAATGAAATTTATTCCTTAAACGGTTTCTGAGTCTGAGAAGTCCAAAGTCCGTCTGGTGGTGGTGACAGTGACCCAGAGGTCTCACATTGCAAGACGATGGAAGCAGAGAGAGCAAGAAAGAAAGACAGACTGTCCTCTTCTTTTAAAGCCCTCAGAACCACTCGCCTGACCACCATTTTTAATCTGTTCACTACTGCATAGTCCTACAATCCAATCACTTCCTCAAGGCTCCACCTTTCAGTTACCATAATAGGATTTCCCACCCTCGTAAGTCAAAGTAGTAGCTAAGTTTCTAATACATAAAACTTGAGGAACACGATTCAAGCTTCAGTGAGTTTTGGGGGAACGTAATTCAATCCACTTACAGTATGTAATAAATTAATTTTTTTCTTATGCATGTACAGTGCTACTAGCTATATACTTTCCTTGGGAGAACTGAGAAAATAGTTACTCAGATAACATTTTCTGTATGGTTTAATTATCTCCAGAACTCTAGTTGAGAAAGCCTGTCCTAAATATTCAACTTATTTCCTAAAAAGAAAGATATTCTTTTAAATTACCATTATAATTATCAGTGTCAAAAGGGGCTGGCCAGTTAGCTCAGTTGGTTAGAGCACAGTGTTATTACACCAAGGTCACAGGTTCAGATCCCCTGAACTAGCCAGCCAGTCCCTACGGTTATCAGAGTCATGAAATTAATATTCATGCAGTACTATTATCTAATCTCTAAACCTTATTCAAGCTTAGCCAGTTGTTCCACTAATGTCTTTTGTAGCAAAAGAAAAATAAAGTTTTTAATGGTCCAAGATCCAATCCAGCATCACTCATTTTATTTAATTATAGTGTCTTTTCTATTGTGAAACACATTCTCAGACTTTGTCTTTCAAAACTGACATTTTTTGAAGAGTTTAAGTTATTTATTTGGTAGTTTCCCTCAATTTGGGTTTATCTGATGTTTTCTCATGATTCTATTCTGGTTATACATTTTTGCCAAGATACCACAGAAGCGATGTTATATTCTCTTCACATCATATTAGGAGGCACATGATGTTGCTTTCTCTCCTTACGGGCAGTGTTAACTTTGATTGCTTGTTTAAGCTTCTGTCTTCTGGGTTTCTATACTGTGAATTTACTCTTTTTGCCTTTCTAATTATTAAATATCTAGTGCAGAGATACTTTCAGACTGTGTAAATATCTTGATTCTCATAAAACTTTTCACTTACTAGATTTTTGCCTGAAACAGTACTCTTCTTTTGATCAGGCGTGATATTTTTTAAACTTTCATCATTGCTTCTACATTTAATTGTTGGCTTTTCATATGTAGGAAAACATTTTTTCTTCTCCCTTTCTTTATTCCCTTTTTTCTTATGAGTACAGATTCATGGGCTCTTATTGTGTTACTAATTTATTATTATTATTTATT